ACACCTTCTGCATGCTGCCTAAAAGGCAAACCCATAGTCCCTAAGGAGGAGTGTGAAATTGCGATTTTGGAGGGGCAGCCAAGACTTCAGTTTAGAAATGGAGGTCCTTGGCTTGACCTTCCCCTTTTTAACATTTTGGCATAACTTTTTTAGGGAACTCCTATATGGGTGGGAGAGAAAAGTATAATTTTCTGCCTGAAAAGCTCAGTTTTTGAAGGGCACACTCCTCAGCATTCTAGTCATGGTAAATGGTGAGGAATACAAATCCAGATGGCTCCCCTCATAGGGTTTTCACTTTTTCTTTCAAGAGCACCGCAAAGCCAGGACATTGTGCTGTTAGATACTTGGTAGCTGGCGGGTGATACAGTGTTGGACTTCTTCCCCCAGCCTTCCTATAGCTTTCATGAATTTTATTTTGAATTCTTGTTTTTATTTTGTTTAGAATTCTGTTTTTCAAGACAGTCTTGCCGTGTTGTCCAAGCTGGTCTCGAACTCCTGGGCTCAGGCCAGCCTCCCGCACTCAGTCTCCTGAATGGGCCCCTGGCTTGAGTATTGGAATATTTACATCTGAATGCTTTGGGAAATTTGCTGTACCTCAAACTCAGAGTGAAAGAAATGTCCAACCAAAAAGCAGGCAGCCTGCTCTCCATGCTGCCATTTATGTCTCAAACTGAGATGACCAAGTTTAAGTTCAAACTAGCAGCTCTACCACTGTTGCTGAAACATCTTTCTTGGTAAAGGTAAATTCTGAAACCTATTTCCTATTCATCTTGGTTTGATCATGAAGTGAGACCCATGGAAGGCAGTGAACGTCCTTCAACACCCTCATCCACATGAGTAATACGGACCATCTTAACCTTTGTCGAAGAGGGCTTGTTCCAGCCTTGGCGACAGAGTGAGAGCCTGCTACAAAAAAAAGGGGGCTTGCTGACTTGATATGCCAGTGAACTTTTGGGAGGGAGCCTTGATGGGATTCTGTAGTAGGGAATGCCTTTAGCTCTGAATAAAGGAAATTGGCATTTCTGTTTTTTACTTTTTGAGACAGGGTCTCAGGATGTCAGCCTGCTCCCAGGCTGGAGTTCAGTGGTCTGATCATAGTTCACTGCAGACTCAAAATCCTGAGCTCGAGTGATCTTCCCACCTCAACCTCCCAGAGTGTTGGGAGTACAGGCATAGGCCACCGAGCCTAGCTGATTTTTTTTTTTTTTTTTTTAAAAAGGCCTTGTCTGAAACTCCTGGCCGCAGGCGATCCTCCTGCCTCAGCCTCCCAAAGTGCTGGGATTGCAGACAAGAACCTCTCTGCCTGGCTGGGTTTCTGTTATTCATTTGTTGGACCTGCTTTCTTGGTAGCAGTGGTGTATTGATTCCCACTAGGATTTCTCTGCCAGGAGATCCTTACAGATCATGTAGTTCAACCCTTTTGCTTTGTGAATTCATTTGAAAGTATTATAATTTTGGTACATAATAATTAATGGATTTCTTGACATGCATTAGATATTTAAGGCAGTAATTTAACTCTGGTTCCACGTTGATTCCATTAGTGCATGGGCTTGCAGCCTTGTGAAATGATGATTCAGTTTATCCATTCGCTGAGTGCGCTGCACTGACCTCCTTCCAAGCCTCAGTTCCTGTTCTAGGAACTTGAGGCTATGTAGCCTGCAAATGCCCTGCAGTCTGCAGTGTTCTACTGTGAACTGCTTGTGTGTTGGCAGGCTACCGGTAAGAATGGTTGGTGTCAGCAGGGATGGGGCCCTCTGGGACCCATCTCACAAAGATGAGTGGTGAAAATCTGATCACTTGCTGCAGCCTTTCAGTTTTTTATTAAGCTGATGCCTGAGTAGCTTTAATAGCTATTAGCTATGTTAGTAGACTGAGATCTTCTGTTAGAAGTCCTTAGTTCTGTTTTCCTTGGGGACTAAGAAATTATATTGCAGGCGTGAATTACAGGAAGGTGAGAACTAATGGCTAGGGAATGAGAGCCAATACCTGTAAAAGCAGAGTTGGGCCAGGTGCAGTGGCTCATACCTGTGATCCCAGCACTTTGGGAGGCTGAGGCGGGCAGATCATGAGGTCAGGAGTTAGAGATTAGCCTGACCAACATGGTGGAACCCCTTCTCTACTAAAAATACAAAAATTAGCCGGGTGTGGTGGCGTGCACCTGTAATCCCAGCTACTCAGGAGGCTGAAGCAGGAGTATCTAGGATAATTGAACCTGGGAGGCGGAGGTTGCCGTGAGCTGAGCTTGTGCCGCTGCCCTCCAGCCTGGGCAACAGTGAGGCTCCGTCTCAGAAAAAAAAAAAAAAAAAAGGCAGAGTTGATGTATTGCTTATAGTTAGTAAACCAGTTGTTTTTCACACACCAGTGCCATAATCTGCAGCTGAGATTGAACACAGTTAAGTAGGTATTAGTTATCTTCAGGATGGAAGAGAACAGTAACAATTCAGAGCACCAATGGGAACATTGTTTCCTGAGAGTTCAAACAGTAACAAAGTAACATATGTTTCCTAAATATGTATCATGTGAATCTTTAACGTTTGTGGACAGTAATACAAACCTAGAGTGTGACAGAACATCTTAGAATTTTATGTCCTTACTTATGAATATTGGACTAGGCAAGGTGTGGATACCTTTCCAGCTGAAAATCTGATCAAGGAGGCAGACTTCTTGGCTCCACGCTAAGAATCGTGGGTGATTTGTCATATTGGCCCTCTTTCTGGCAAAATCTTAGTTTTCTTAGGCAGTGGAATGAGGCATAACAAAACAAAATCCCTGGAGGCTAGGAACAGTTTGAAAGAAGACACTGTAGCATGTGCTGCTTAAGTACATATCTCCTGCTTTTGGAATGGAAACTAGGAAGTTATTTAAATAGATACATCTGTTTTTTATCCTATCTGTAGTAATTAATGTGGGATATTCAAATAGGAAAATATGGGCTAGCACTGCATATTGTATACATGTCTTACATTGTATGCAAATGACTATTAGATTTAGATGACTAATTAGATTTAAATGACGGTTCAGCTAGCTCCAATCTTAACAGATCAGAGATTGTGGAGTTTAACTTCTTTGGACTGTGTCTTTTTCATTTTGGCGCTGTGTCTGCAGTCACCATAACCACTTAGAAAAATCTGTATTTTTTTCTGTTCTCCTCGTGTGTTCTGAGTTTTAGAATCTTCCCTTTTGTGGTGTTCAGTCATCCAGGTGCCCTTTGCCCTCTGTGAGCCATTAAACCTTTTGAAGAGGCAGCTTTGCTGGGATCATTGTCTTGTGCCACAGTGAGTCGTAAGTGAAATTTGGGCCAAAAGTGAGTTTATGAAGACCGGTGGGCAGGAGCTCAAGAGCTGCAGGGTTGTCCTGTAGCCCGTGTCTGATGTGCCCCAGCTGGGAAGCTGATGAATAGGTGAGGAAATGCACAGGGATTCCGTAACTGCTTTTCTCCTTTTAGAGAAGTGCTTTGGCTCTCGTACCAAAAGCATTGCGATTTCTTAAAACAGTTGAAAATGTGCTTTCCAAATGAAGCTGTGCTTGTTTACCTCTTGTTTACCATGAAGGCTGATTATAATCTGTATTGTAAGGATTGACCTGGTAGGGGGAAGTACATCATGAACTGAAACTTTACCTAAAACTTTGAATACATGAGCCAGTAGTTTCAAGAGAAATCTACAAAAGTCAGGTTTTTTAAAATTTTTAAAAAGTTCTGAAATAGAGATGAGGCCTCAATATATTGCTCAGGCTGGGTTGTTGAGATTTTTGTTTTTTGTTTTGTTTTGTTTTGTTTTGTTTTGGAGACTCGTTCTGTTTCCCAGGCTGAAGTGCAGTGGTGCGATCTCTGCTCACTGCAACCTCCGCCTCCCGGGTTCAAGCAGTTCTTCTCCTGCCTCAGCCTCCTGAGTAGCTGGAATTACAGGCACGTGCTACCATGCCAGACTAATTTTTTTTTTTTAAGACGGAGTTTCACTCTCATCGCCCAGGCCGGAGTGCAGTGGCGTGATCTCGGCTCACTGCAACCTCTGCCTCCTGGGTTCAAGCAATTCTCCTACCTCAGATGTTACAATGCTTACAGTGGCAGTTTACAACAGTTGACAAAGCAGGCTTCAGAACCAAGTCCCGCCTTGGGCATGCCAGACCTTTACCATGCAAAGTTGGCCCTGTTGGCCAACACTAAGTCTCTGTCTTAGGCCATACCTGAGTAGCTGGGATTGCAGGTGTGCGCCATCACGCCCAGCTAATTGTTGTATTTTTGGTAGAGACGGAGTTTCACCATGTTGGCCAATATGTTCTCGATCTCCTAACCTTGTGATCCACCTGCCTCTGTCTCCCAAAGTGCTGGGATTACAGGCGTGAGCCACCGTGCCTGGCCAATTTTTGTGTTTTTAGTAGAGACGGGGTTTCACCATGTTGGGCAGGCTGGTCTCGATGTCCTGACCTCAGGTGATCTGCCTACCTTGGCCTCCCAAAGTGCTGGGATTATAGGCGTGAGCCACCACACCCAGCCAGAAGTCAGTTTTAAAACTTTTAAATTATTTGAGAGTAGGTATATTTTCAGTTTGATTCTTACAAGTGACCTAAGGAATCTGGAAAAGAGGTAAAACTTTGCATGGTTTTACCCAAGGCGGGACTTGGTTCTGAAGCCTGCTTTGTCAACTGTTGTAAACTGCCACTGTAAGCATTGTAACATCTGTGGCCTAAGGCAGAGACTCAGTGTTGGCTAGCAGGGCTAAGGAGTACTCTGAGCCCTTCAAGCTAAGGGAGATGGAGGCAGAGGCAAGTGAGAGAGGAAGAGTGGAGCCTGGTCATTATTTAGCAAGTTCTGTAGCACTGTGGAGTGGGTTTATTGACTAAGCAGAAGAAGGAATGCTGAACTTTTAGTTACACTTGATGCTTCCTGAGTGAGGGTACAAATGCTGACTTAGAAGCTCTAGTCATTTCATTACTTTCTACCCATGTTTGTCTCATCTGGAGGGTTATATGCTGTAGTATGAGAAAGTTTGTTTAACTTGTGCCTGAGGGACATTGAGTTGGTGATGGCCTGGATGCTGAGGGATTTTGCCAGTATTCTCTTTTAGACAGTTCTTTTAGGTCCAAATACAGAATTGCAGTATTTGCTTATTTGGTGGTTAGAACTATCATGTCAAGTGATTGGATTTTACCTTGAATCCCTTCCTAGGGTGAAATGTCTGGGCAAAAAATGGCTGCTAGTGAAGCTCGGATGTTTGATATGCTGTGTTTGCAGTCACTCATACCTAGTAGTTTTCTTCTTTTTGTCCTCATCACATTCTGAAACAAAAAATGTTTCTATACTAACCAGGAAGGAAGACAGGTATAGTCGGGGGTATTACCTCTACATGGGAAAAGGAACGAAAACAGAAGATAATTATTCAGAGGAATGAAAAGCAGCTAAAGCAGCTGGTAGCATCCATTATAGCTTTAACTGTGGTGCTTGAATGAGCTGCATTTACTTGATTACATCCCCCTTGGGTCCTCCTATTTGAGTTCCAAGGGTATCCCATATGGAGTTCACAGGCTCAGTGAGTTTGCTGGGCTTGTGAGCAAAAATGAAACTGTCAGCATATTCATTAGAGTGGTGCTAGAAGTCAGGGTTTGTGACTTCTTTAGGAAATGGAATCTTAGGAAATGTGGCAGTTTTAGAGCTCTGGGAAATGCACCTTAGACCTGTCCTGTGAGATGCCCTATGTCTCCTCCAGAGACCATGGCTACTTCTTACGCCTGGCTCTGTGAATTCCTGTTCTTGGGCCTGCCTGACCTTGACAGATAAGCCTAAGATCAGTAGAGTTGTTGGTATTCCTCTGCACATCTCAGTTAATGGTTTGAGGTATTGTTTTTAAAGGCTGTATTTGCCCAGTGTTAACTCAGCAGAAGGAAGGAAATTCTTATCAGAAAATATGCCAGAGCTGGAGTCACAGTTATGATCAAATGAAGTCTCTGCCCTTGAAGCTTTATCTTTGTTTGCAGAGATCTCACAAATGGACATGTGAAAATTAAGCCAGACAAGCAGATTTCATAGGAATTAACAATAATTCATTTGGAAGAAAAAGTACTTAGGTTGAGATGTGAGGACTCAAAAGTATCTGTTTTGATGTTACTAATAGTTGCTGTTAAAAATCAACTTCTGGTGACTACTTGAGCTTAATTTCTGGGAGGAAAGCCATTGTGATATTTCCCTCTGGCTTTCAGAATTATAAATATACAGTGCTTAAGGAAAAGGGAAGTACTTGAAACTTTTAAGTAATCCATGTGCTTTTAGTGAATGTATTTAGTCTTTTTGTAACTGATTGACTAGATTTTCAGGTTTTAGAGGTTAAGTACATAGTTTTTAGTCTTGAACTTTTTAGTTTGAAGAAAGGGACCCAAAGGGAAATTTGGAGTGAAATATCTCATCTTCTTAATTCTAATCTTCAGTTGGCATTCCCTGCTTTGGGTAATCCAGTGTTATGACAACTTTAGCACTTTTTACAGTAAAAGGAATGGGGCAATGAGAGGCTTACTCTGTGAGTTCCTCGTGCCTTGTGTGTCAGGCTTTCAGATTGTCCACCTTGTCTGCTTTAATTTACCTTTATTTAAGTTACTTTTCCCTAATAGCCCAGTTCCTATCAGTGCTGCCACTGTTCTCTCTCTCTCTCTCTCTCTCTTTTTGACTGGCAGAAATGGAGTTACGTAGTTTTTTCCTCTGAATTTCCAGCTCACAAAATCAGTTGAGTATTCAGAGCGGTGCTCACACTTGTTGCTCATGTGTAACCACAGTGGGATTGTACTATTTAAGTAAGGCCTTGGTTGGTTTTTCTAATTCACCCCTCCTGTCTAGATTCCTTGGCTATTTGAAACAGTCCCAGGTTTACTCTGAACTCTCCACCCAGGATCCTATTCCTCATGGCTGTTCTCTGTGCCATCTCCCTAGGTTTTCCTGTCAGATGTTTGTGTGGCCTGGTTAATGCCTCTTTGAATGTTCATTGTACTTTGGCATTTATGTAAGAATTCAAGATTTTGTTCTCTTTTAGTACTGTACAGGCCTTAGTGTACAGTCAGGTATTTGGCCAAATGTATTTCTCATGTAGGCATAAAAATATGTAATGTACATGACATTATTGTAGCAGTTGTTTTGTTTACATTACAGGAATACTTTGGATATACCAATGCATTTGAAGAAGGGGTTTCCCCTCAGTTTCGAATAAACTTAGAAATGTCTCAATTGACATTTCTAAATGATCTGCGTATAAACTGCTTTTTAGTAACTACTCATTTTTGGAGTAATTTTTTAGGGCCAAATGGGTTTGAAACTAATATGCAAAAAATGTATTTCAGCTGAGATCTGTATCTGTGGACCTGAATGTTGATCCCTCGCTTCAGATTGACATACCTGATGCACTCAGTGAGAGAGATAAAGTCAAATTTACAGTGCACACAAAGGTAAGTAACAAACAGTGGCAATACATGTAGTGCTAGGTTGCAGCCTCGTTATTCACAGTGGATGTGAGAAGAGATTCCCTGAGCTTGAAACAGTTGCTATTCATAGGGTAGCACTATTAAGTGAGAACTTCCCTAATCTCACAGTAAGCATCAGGTGAGTGCCATTTTGGCAGCAGCATTCTGCTCTGGCAGAGCCCTGGGCTGTGGGTTCTTTTTTTGTTTTGTTTTGACAGTCTCACTGTGTTGCCCAGGCTAGAATGAAGTGGCGCCATCTTGGCTACTATAACCCCCAACTCCCGGGTTCAAGCAATTCTCGTGCCTCAGCTTCCCAAAGTGCTGGGATTGAAGGCTTGAGCCAGAGCCACCACACCCCGGGGCCCCACCTTCGTTTTTAATTTGCATCCAAGGGAAGTTTCTCTCTGTAGCTTGCTGTTTTTTCAGCATTTACTAAATTGGGAAGGACCTTTCCCATGTGGTTTTTTCTTAACGCTTGGGCGGCTTGAATAGCACACTTCAGTTATTCCGGAGGCAGTGTAAAAAGACTGGTGACATAATTCTCTGCCTGAGCTTACCAGATCAAAGGAGGTAAAATCAGCATTCACTGGAGTGAAAAGGAAGGAAGCCAGGGACAATTTTTAGAACCATAGTAAGTAACAGCTAAGAGGTTTTTTTAAAATTTATTTTTCTTTTTTGTTATAAGTTGGGGGTGGGGAGTATATTCAGACTTACAAAAGTAGAATTTGGGGCTGGGTTGGGTGGCTCACACCTGTAATCCTAGCACTTCGGGAGGCCAAGACAGGCAGATCTGTTGAGCCTGGGCAACATGGCAAAAACCTCTCTCTTCCAAAAATATAAAAATTAGCTGGATGTGGTAGCGCACACCTGTAGTTCCAGCTACTCAGGAGGCTGAGGTGGTGGGAGGATGGCTTGAAAGCCTGGAAGGCAGAGGTTGCAGTGAGCCAAGAAGCCAAGATCATTCCACTGCACTCCAGCCTGGGTGACAGCCAGACCCTGTTCCAAAAATGTATATATACAAAAAAAAGTACACAGAAACAAAAAAATAGAATTAGGGTTGTGGCTTACTTCTTGGAACTGAACTTCTACTAGTAGATTATCTGATTGGATATTCATTACAAGCTTCAGAAAGGTGGAGTTTGGGGAGAAATCCTTAGAGTTCAGGTTGAAGCTTAGCTGGGACTTTCATGATCGGAGATCATGTGTTACTGCTTGGTTCTTTACTGGATCATGCTATGATGTATTATGCAGAATTTTCCTGCCATGTAGCCCAGAAAACCCAAATCACTTATCTAAAAGTCGTGGTTACCAGTTAATTTCTTTCTTTCTTTACAGACCACATTGCCCACGTTTCAGAGCCCAGAGTTTTCTGTCACAAGGCAACATGAAGACTTTGTGTGGCTACATGACACTCTTATTGAAACAGCAGACTATGCTGGGCTTATTGTGAGTCTTTTAGAAAATCAAATAAGCTAGTTCTTTCTGCCTTGCTATGCATTTAGTTTAAAAGAGACTTATATCCACTTTTTGTAATGGATTGTGAAAAGTTAGATTTCATCTACCTATGGGAGTATTTGCTAACTGTCAAGTGGAAAATATGTGAAGGAAATAGTGTTAGAGCTTTGAGGTGGTGCATCCAGGCTTACATTATTTACATTGTAAAGGGGTGTGAACAGTGTAATGACTTTAGTCTTACCTACCTTTTTCTCTGGTATGTTTTTTTCCAGGGTCAGTAGAATTGATTTCTAGGAAACATTAGTATTGGTAATAGTTTGTGATAAAATTTCTCGAAAGTTGCTGAAGGAGGCCATACCTGTAATCTTAGCACTTTGGGAGGCTGAGGTGGGTGGGTCACCTGAGCTCAGGATTTTAAGACGTGCCTGGGCAACATAATGAGACTCTGTCTCTACTAAAAGTACAAAAAATTTGCTGTGCGTGGTGGCACATACTTGTTGTCCCAGCTACTGGAGAAGCTGAGGCATGAGAATCGCTTGAACTTGGGAGGCAGAGGTTGCAGTGAGCCGAGGCCATACCACGTCACTCCAGCCTGTGTGACAGAGCGAGATCCTCTTGTCTCCCAGAAACACAAAAAGTGCTCAAAGAGGCAGTTTTCAGCCCTTGATTGTTAATTCTTGGCTGCAGGAACAGACTTAAATTGATTTTAAAGGAGATTTCCATGCATTTTGTCCTGCCAGGCAGACTGAAGAATCTGTCCAAATGATGATTTCTTAATAAACAAAATTAGCATCGAAGCTTATATTTAGGTATGTTCTGTTCATTCAAAATTAGAGTCCTTGATTATCCTTTGGGATTAGGAAAAAAATTCTTTTGGAGTACTGGAGACTGTATAATCTTGATGGCTAATCGTTGGTGTTTGGCATTCGTTGTACTAGTTTTAGGCCAACATTGAAGCAGTATAGACACTGTTGTGCTCTGAACAATTGTCTGTAATGGATAAACTGAACAAATGATTGCCATCAAAGTGAATACTCAACTCTCAGGAAGACACCTCATTTTAAGTGGCCAGAAGAAATAAGGAAGGTTAAGAAAAAACAGGAGTTGACTTTTAAATAGCCCCACAGGAGTGGAGTGGTTGTCTCCTGTGGACCAGCAAGAGTAGAATGAGGCACCAACTAGAAAACATCGCTGCTGGGACAAGAGGCTCATGAGTTCCTGCCTCTGCTGCAGATTCCACCTGCTCCTACGAAGCCCGACTTTGATGGTCCTCGAGAGAAGATGCAGAAACTGGGAGAAGGTGAAGGGTCTATGACCAAAGAAGAATTTGCCAAGATGAAACAAGAACTGGAAGCGTAAGTGGATTTTCCTGGTGGGCTCTGTCTTTTGAGAAGTAGAAAAGTGGTGCTGTATACAAAAATAAGTAGAAGAACCTGACTTAATTTTGTTTTAAGTGCAGCTGTTGATTAGGTCACTAGCGTCATTTTCTAAAACTAGTAATACATCTTGCATAGTGTGGGGCAGGGTCTTTGTACTTCACACATTGATTCATTGGAGGCCATTGACACTAATACCTGATAGACTAGTTGTTTTTTCCCATATGTAGAGCATACTTATTAGGGATGCTGGTCTGGCACAGTGAGGAAATAAACTTTTGTGCCTTTATAAATTGCTCATAATGTACAAAACTTTTCTTTCAGAAGGTTGATTACTAGATGTTTAGAAGAAACTAGATTGTAATGAATGCTGTTACATGAAAAAAAAATTTTTTTTTTTTTTTTTTGGAGACAGGTTCTTCAGGTTCTTGCTGTCTTGCCCAGGCTGGAGTGCAATGGTGCTATCTCACTGCAACCTCCACCTCACAGGCTTCAGTGATCCTCCCACATCAGTCCCCTGAGTAACTGGGACCATGGTTACTGGGACTACTGGCACATGCCACCACACTCAGCTAACTTTTAAAATTTTTTTAGAGATGGGGTTTCGTCATGTTGCCCAGGCTGGTCTCAAACTCCTGAGCTCAAGTGATTGGCTCGCCTTTGCCTCGCATAGTGCTGAGATTATAGTGAGCTGTCCCCAGGCCAGACCAAATAATGAGTGCTGTTTACAGAGCAGCATTCTCAGTAACCATCACATTGATTTGAAAGAGGAAGTCCAGGTCTATAGGCAGCAAGTATATTTTAATCTGATTGTCATTTATTTTTTTCAAACAAAAATAGATTTTTGGAAAGTTTCTTGTGAATCCGTCCTTGACTTCCTCATCTTAGCTGAAAAGTACTCATTCCTCCGCTCTTCCACCATCAGCTCCGAGTCCCCCAAGCCCCTGTGTCATCTAGGGCAGCACTCAAATCTTCAGGCACTGAAAGCATTTAGCAGACACTTGAGTGGCTTTGGGACCAGCTCTGGGGAATGAGGCACTGAACACAACAGACCCAGGTTTCTACCATTAGGAATTTTAAGGTGACCCTTAATGTCTAGGTTGAGATAAAGCTGCTTCGTAATTTTTGTTAACTTTTAGCTTCATTAGACTCATGCCGTGTACTCAGGCTGCAGAGTTATAGGGTTTTCATTGCTTTAAAGAAACAAATGTTCTGTGGCTGCTAGCTGACAGTAATTGCATGTAGATTTGGGAGCTCATGGACTTGATCCATCAAATCCAATGACAACATTGCTTTCCTCCATAGGCTTATTCCACAGATTCAAAAATGGCAATTGCCTTATCTAACTAGACACCAGGTTATACTGAAACACTGTTTGGTCCAGTTGCAGTGTTTTATGTGGTGGCATGAGCAGAGCCATAGATTTAACCAGGAGTGGTATTGGTCAGGTAGTTGAGCTGTGTCAACTGAATGCTGTGTGCGCATCTCTTTTCAGTGAGTATCTCGCTGTTTTTAAGAAGACTGTCTCCTCCCATGAAGTCTTTCTTCAGCGGCTTTCTTCTCACGCTGTTCTCAGTAAAGATCGCAACTTTCATGTTTTCCTGGAATATGATCAGGATGTAAGACATTTTTATTCCGTTTTGATAATCCACTTCAAATGTTTATACTTTCAAAATGTTCTTGATAGTTTCTAAAAAATTGACTGCTTTAGAGTTTTGAATTTCTTACACACTGGAAACCTTTTTAGATGCTGCTTTTCCTTCATTGTGTAAGTCATTTTTTGTAAAACTCTGCTTAAAGAAAATTTTGACTTCTTTCCGCTTCCAAAACCTAGATTTCTTTTTAAGAAATTAACAGTCCCAAACATCCCTTAATTTCTTAACAATCCCAAAGTTAACTAAGTTCATTTTAAGGGAATTAAAATTTGTGTAATTTATTTTCTTCCCAGCTACCCTTTTTATTGAATTATGACTTTTATGCTATTTTTCTTTTTAACATGTTTTGTTTTTTGCTACTTAATATGTATAGAAGACAACAGTAATTTTCCCAAGGATTTCAAAGCCAGTAAGACTTGGCTTCTAGTCAGTCTTTCAAAATCTCTTAAGCCTTTTAGAATGAGATGACCTACCTATGTTTAGGTTTAGCCATTAGGTGTTTTTAAAGCTTGGAGGTTAAGGCAGAATTAAAGATACTTTGTGCATTTGCCTGTAGTAATAAAGAGGATTACTTAAAATGTTATTCAGAACTTCTTTAAGAGAACCTAGAAAAATACATACCATATAAACTGTTCTTCGGAATTTTCTTCCTTTAGCTAAGTGTGAGGCGGAAAAATACTAAAGAGATGTTTGGTGGCTTCTTCAAAAGTGTGGTGAAAAGTGCTGATGAAGTCCTTTTTACCGGAGTTAAGGTTAGTGACCTTTGGCTGTTGGAGAAAATTTTTGACTTCATTGGGAGTAGATGACCTTTTATTTCTTTGAAAGAGATACTTGTGAAGCAGATGGTTAACTTTTAAGAAATGTAAGTTTTCTTCAGATTTTGGTAATTTTCATCTACTTACTCAATTTTCACTTATTTCCCAAAGCACCTGTTCTCTCCAAGAAGCAACTTGAACCTTTCCACACTTGGCTTCATTTTCTCCTTTTCTGTAAGGAGGGAGATTACTCAGTTAATTTCTAAAATAATATACAAGATCAGTATTTTATCCCATTCTCAGAACTACACTGTCCAGTTTGGTCACCAACTACAGGTGATGGAGAAGCACTTGACATGTAACCTAGCTAGCACAACTAAGGAACCAAACTTTAGATTTTATTTACATATTGTATTTCAAGGCGTTAGCACAAAGATAAGAATACAAAAATTTCCAAACATTTCCATTACCCTTATAGGTATGATTTACTTTCTTCTCGGCCTTCTCATTCCTTTGTAACTGAGTAACCCTTACAGTTACTATCTGGTATCTGCCTCTGCCATTCCAGGGAGCCCAGAATACAGGTGCTCAGTAGAGAGGGCGTCATCAGAAATTAGGAAACTCGGACTTAGTCCAGTTTAAGGTGTATGGGACAGTCCTGTATCCATGCATTATGGGATATTTGGCATTGGCATCCTTGGCCAGTGCCTGCCAGATACCTGGATTTCCTCCCAGTCTGAAACCAATCGAGAAAAAAAACCCTCATTCACACACAGATAGGTATGCAAGGCTAAGTGGCTATGTTCCACCTGGTAGAACCATTGTACTAGTGTAAAATAGCTGGGTCTTAGGATGCCAGTTTTACTGGGGATTGTTAAGTGATTCTTCTGTAGACATTTTCTGCCAGCCCTTGGTTTTTGCCAGCCTTGGTTAAGAAATTGTATCGTAAATTTGTAATTCCCTGATCTGTAGAGGTTAAACTTTACTCATGTTTATTTGCCATGTTCTAAGCAATATATTTTTATATTGATAAATATAAAAGGCTACAGGGATAGTATATTTTCACATTCATAAAATGTCTGCTTCTTTTTTTCTTCCTTCTAGGAAGTAGATGACTTCTTTGAGCAAGAGAAGAACTTCCTTATTAACTATTACAATAGGATCAAAGATTCTTGTGTGAAAGCTGACAAAATGACCAGATCTCATAAAAGTAAATATCATTTACCGCTAGTCACTTACAGCTTTGCTGATGAGCCTGGCTGTGTTTGGATAAAAAGACTTGTCCTTGTTTCTGCAGATGTTGCCGATGACTATATCCACACTGCAGCCTGCTTACATAGCCTGGCTTTAGAAGAGCCCACAGTCATCAAAAAGTAAGTTTTTTTGGAAAAGCATTTCCCCAAACCCAATTGATGAGTGCTGAGTGGTAAAATTAAAAGCATAAATGAGTAATGACTATATGGTCCTGCTGTGGAGTTAAAAGCTCAGTAAGACAAGTGTCCAGCACTCACCTTATATGTTCTCTGGACATAAGACACTTACAAGACAATTGTAGGGGACTTGGGCTCTTCTATATGTGAACAAATACAGTAAATGTTGTCAAAGCAATAGTTTCTGTCACACTTAAAAAGCCTGTTTTCTTTAGTTTTGGCGTTTGTGAGAGTTTATCTTGAATCTTTCCCTGGCAATTGGTGCTTGCCATTTTGCCTGGTAATGCCCTAGACCTTCTTTTTTTTTGGCCTGTGATGCAGCCCCAGGCGATCCGGAGAACATGTGCCTCTGCTCTGGACTTTGAAGAGATTTGGTTATGGTGGTCATGAGAATAATTTAATGACCCCAGTCTGACACACAGCTGTTTTGATGTACAGTTTTCTGAAATTATCTTCATTCATTGAATTAAAAACCCTTCCATTTTCACTCTGCACTTACATATGTGTTTCAGTTTCTCCATCCTGAGCGTTTCTGGTGTAAGACAATATTTTACTTAACATCCAGGCTTGGCAAAACAGGTGATATACTACTTCTGACTTGAAATTGAAAGGCTAATGGCAGAACCATGATGAATTAAATAGCATATTTACTGTTTCGCGATGCCCATAGCAGAGCTCATTAGAACCTGACCTTGGTTAACACAGCATTGGCATTTAATAAGAATATTTGGGCACATGGCAGGATGACCAAAGGGTCACCAAGAGGCTGAGTGTGGTGTTGTACATGTGTGTAGTTTTGTGACCATCTTCTGTACTATTTGGGGTCAGTTGAAGTGAGAGCACTTTCAAATTAACGCTAAAGTGCCACAGGCTCGGACTGCTGAGTTGACTCATTCCTGTCTTGCACGCTGGTAAGATCATGTTTATAGATGATTTAAGACCTTACACCAAAACTACATGTACATTTTCAGGTACCTGTTGAAGGTTGCTGAGCTATTTGAAAAGCTTAGGGTAAGGATTTTTGTGTTGATCTTCATGACATATATTTTATAATCTGTAGCTTTCTGCCTTGATGGTGACCTTTCCTTTTCTATATAGAAAGTAGAGGGTCGAGTGTCATCAGATGAAGATTTGAAGCTAACAGAGCTCCTCCGATACTACATGCTCAACATCGAAGCTGCTAAGGTAGGAAGAGAGTTGCTCAGCTTCTCGTAGCAATGCAGGACCAGAGAAGTCTGTTTAAAAAGTTTCTTTATGGCCGGGCGCGGTGGCTCAAGCCTGTAATCCTAGCACTTTGGGAGGCCGAGGCGGGTGGATCACGAGGTCAGGAGATCGAGACTATCCTGGCTAACATGGTGAAACCCCGTCTCTACTAAAAATACAAAAAACTAGCCGGGCGTGGTGGCGGGCGCCTGTAGTCTCAGCTACTTGGGAGGCTGAGGCGGGAGAATGGCGTGAACCCGGGAGGCGGAGCTTGCAGTGAGCCGAGATCACGCCACTGCACTCCAGCCTGGGAGACACAGCGAGACTCCGTCTCAAAAAAAAAAAAAAAAAAAAGGTTTCTTTACACAGAGGGGCAGAATGAGAGTTTATCAGACTTGTTTTTATGAATGACATGCCTCTCTGGCCTTGTATAAAGCTTGTGTATCTGACAGCACTGTGGGGGTTGTGTGCAGTAGACAGGTAATAGTTTGGGGGATGGTAGGTCATTGATATAGGACATAACATACAGAAAGGGCTATTGCTGGGGCAGAGAAGATTTGGGAGTTTTTATTGAATTGCAAGTATCCCTGCAGCCTTTGAGCCATAAGGCTTTATATACATATATGGGCAAATTGGTAAGCAGAATAACCTTTGGGAATGAAACATGCATTGTCTGCATTGCCCTGAACAAATATGTTTTAATTTTATGTGAAATGTATTAAATCAGGCAAAATAAAATTAGATAGGATTCTGTGCCCTTTGAGGCTGAAATGTCATCAGAAAGTAAGAGTAAAAATTTATTTTTCCCCCATCATGTAGTTTTATTTTAGTTAATTTGCCCTTTGGCATGTTTTCTGAATCTTGGAGTTTTTAAAAATATACTTTTTTAGTAGCTTATTTTCTTCTTTCATGGAATTTGATCTTACTTAAGATTATTTGAGTATATACAAAAATAGGCCTAGTAGTTTCACTCATCAGTTATTTCACCTAGTTTTAAATATATAATCTATACATCATAATTGCAGATTTCAGATACTGAAGTAACTTCTACTTTGTTGTAAGATTGCAAAGAACCTTTATGTCTGACTAAGTGGATCTCCAAGGTAGATAACCAGAAGCAGGATTTGCAGGGCAGGGTTAACTTCATTGCCCAGTTTTATTTTAGCAGCTCTCAACTTCACTTACCCAGCAGTGACAGTATATGTGTTCTGATGCACAATATTTAATTTTTGAAGTTAACTTTGTTTACTGAATTAACTGAAAAAAAATAGTTCTTCTGTTTTCACTCTTGAGTAATCACTTGATTCATATAAGGGATTCTTAAAAAAAGCTCTCAACAAAGCTATCAGCGTTGCTTATCGCTGCCGAAGCTGGAGATTTAAAAATACTCTGGGAGAGGGAAGATGTAGAGGTAGATTATTGCCACTTAACATCTCAAGTGGTACATTGGCACTTGGGCTATTTTTTAGACTGGTTTAGATATTTAGTATGTATACCTGTTAATTTTTTTCCCAGGATCTCTTATACAGACGCACCAAAGCGCTCATTGACTATGAAAACTCAAACAAAGCTCTGGATAAAGCCCGGTTAAAGAGCAAAGACGTCAAGTTGGCTGAGGCACACCAGCAGGAGTGCTGCCAGAAATTTGAACAACTTTCCGAATCTGCAAAAGAAGGTTGAGCAGGGACATTCTTCTTTCTGTACTCTAGTTTGAAAATAATTTCAAACTTAGAAAAGTTGCACAAATAGTGCAAAAAACACCTATCTATCCTTCACCCAGTGTCAGCACTTCACCCCATCTGCCTTATCATTTGCACATGCACAGTCACCCTCATGGCTTTGTGTACTTACAAACGTTACACACCTGATTTTTCTGTACCAATGGAGATTAAGTTGCATACGTCATGCTGCTTTTAGCCCTAAAAACATTGTTGTTTATGTCCTAAGACTGAAGACATTCTCTTGTATGGTTACAGTATGGTTATTTGCTGTGATAAATTTAACTTTGGGACTACAATCTGCTGTCTATTCATGTTTGTCTTGATGTCCTCTACAAGATCCAGTCTAGGATTGCATCTGGTTATCTTAGCTATTAGTCTCCTTTACTCTGGAATAGTTCTTAGTTTTTAATGATATCAGTCTTTTTAGAGAATCTCTTTACAATTCCTGTATTTCTGACTTTTGGTTGGTGTCCTCATGTTTTAGATCTGGTTATGGGTTCCTGGCAGAATAGAAGTAATATGCCCTTCTTGGGGTGTCACTTCTGATTGAACATTGTGTTTCTCCTTCATTTGTGGTGGTAATTTTGATTACTCAGTTAGATAGTATCCAAATCCAATTTCTCCACTGTGTAGTTACTGTTTTAACCCCCATCAATCTGTGGTAAGGCAATTTAAGACCATGCAAATATCTTGGTCTTCATCAAACTTCCTCCCTAGATTTAGCATGTATTAATGATTCTTATCTAAAGCAGCTGTTACTCTGATGGTTGGAGAAAGATGATTTCCCTCATCTCCAGCTCTAACTTTCCTACCCAAGTTGGCACTTGTCATTCTACTACAAAAAGCCTTCCCTTTTCTCAGAGATTGCCTTTATCTTCTTTATTAGAGTCATGAATTCCCAGTTTTTAAAATGGTTTGGGATTCATTATTACCAGGTTATTTTTGATGCTTGTCCAGACTTTGCCAGTAGGATCACCTTTAAGCTGGCATGTGGTTGTAACACCCTAACCCCTCTTTTAGAGCAATAGGCTATGCTAATCTTACTCTCTACTCCAGCCTTGAAACTGGCCATTTCTTCAGGGAGCCAGGGTTCTTTTTCTTTGAGAACAGTTACCAGCATCTGAGTATGCTCATTGTTTTGGGGTATCTCTGCTTCTGTGCCCTTGAGTGGACTGAGCTAGGAAATGTATGTGTGTGTGCACTTGCATGCTGTTGCACACACATACAGGTTGCAGGGATCACAAGTCTGGTCCATGTCCACGTCCACTGGGTTCTTTCTTGCCTTATCCATTTCAGTCCTCAGAGCAGAGGACTTTTACCATTTCCATTGAACATGAGTGTAATATGTAGTCCTTGCCTTGCCTAAGAGGATTTAGTGGATCTTCTCTGGGTTCTCAGGAGCCATGGAACATGCCAGAGCACATGTTGGAATGGATTACCCAGAATGTGAGTAGTTGTAGTCGGGCACTATTGGACTCAGCCCCCACCCCCTGAACTCATGTTTCCGTGAAAAATTCTTAACTTAGCTTTCTCCTAACTTGGTTTCGCAGTGGTTGGGTAATCTAGACGTAGGGAAATGATCTGTTCATCAACATACCTGAAGCTACCTGGGGGAAACCTAAACTTGATAGAGTTCTAATCATTTGTCTTTTTGTCTATTCAGGGTTATAATACAATACCTTAACTGTAAGCCACAGAGCTTCCTGGCTAATGTCACGTAGATAGGCTCTGAGGCTGTCCTGGTTTGTTCCAAAGTAACCTTCGTGCTACCCTTTTCCTGAAACAATTACAGCTTTTTTTTTTTTTTTTTTAAACTAAAATTTTCAAGGAAACATACACACTTCAGAACTACTGAGTTGAAATCTTATAGGCAAGTTCCATGACTCTGGCAATTTTAGAGGAGATTAAAGAAAAAACACAAAACTTTTAAAAATGATGCCAATTCAGGTCTACCTTTACTGCCTAAAGTTTTCGCCCACATTGATTATATCCTATATTCAAAATGCAAAATAGGTACATAGAATGCTGAGATTGGTGGGTCTTAACCTGTGTTTTCCTCTGGTACAAGTGCTTTCTGAGACTTGTAGCTGAGCTGACTAGAGTTGAGTCAGTGGGTAAGGGCTGGTTTCACAGCAGGTGAGTAGTTAGCGTATGGAGCCCTGGTAGTATGTGTAGGTCCAGAGGAAGGCAGGGAGCTTATTTTCACCCAGGATATCCAAGGGACTGATAAACATCACCTTGTAGGGCAAGCACTATAGACTTAACCTATCACTATGAAATTTGACTTTTTAACTCGGATGTGGCTGCCTGTATTGTAGTTCTTTCGCACAACACTAGAGACAGGAGGAGGGTGAGTCTGCTCTGAACACTTGAGCACCAGCAGAAGGTTGAGTGATGGTCAAAGTTTTACTCAAGCAAAACTGCAAGACAGAACTTAATGTCAAAATTTAATGAAGGTAGTAGGGCGAGACACACATATTCTTTGTTCCAATTTCCAATAGGTCATTAATGCTGAATTCTGATGGCAATAGGAGTAAATGAAAAGGAAGCATGCCCTAAAGATCATCAAGTAAACCTGTCTTGAATACGAGTAGCAGTTTTTACTGTTTCGGATTTTAAAATGTTTTAAGTTTTATTTTTAATCGACAAGTCATCGTATTGCATTTATGGAATACATTGTGATCCTTTGATACAGGTATATAGTGTGAAATTATTAGATCAAGCTAATTGACATCTCATTTTTTCAGTGGTAATACATTTGAAATTTACTGTTTCAATATACATTATTGACTCTAGTCACCCTGTTGTGCAATATATCTCAAAATTTATTCCTTGAGTTTATTAGCTGCAGCCTTCAGCCCATTCTCTTGCTCCCACCTTCCCCAGAACCCCACCCTCGTCCTCTGATAACCATCATTCTATTCTCTACTTCTAGGGGGTTCAACTTAAGATTTTACCGATAAGTGAGATCATGTAATGTGTTTGTCTTTCTGTGCCTGGCTTATTGTATTTGGCATAATGTCCTCTAAGATCCATCCATGTTGTCCCATATGACAGAATTTTGTTCTTTTTAAAGGCCGAATAGTATTGTGTGTCTCTACTACATGTCTTCATCTGCTGATGGACACTTCTCAATTGATTTTGTATTTTGGCTATTGTAAATAATGCTGCAGTGAACATGGAAGTACAGATACCCCATTGAGATACTTACTTCAATTCCTTTTGTTGCATTCCCAGAAATGGGTTTGCTGGATCATATGGTAATTCTATTTTTAGTTTTTTGAGGAACCTCTACACCATTTTCCATGGTAGCTGTACTAATTTACATCCCCAGCAACAGTGTAGAAGAGTTCCCCTTTCTCTGCATTGTTGCCAACACTGATCTTTCATCTATTTGAGAAAATCCATTCTAGCAGGTGTGAGGTAATCTCATTGTGGTTTTAATTTGCATTTCCCTAATGGTTAGTGATGCTGAACATTGTTTGCACAAACCTGGTGTTTCTTTTGAGAAGGTTTTCACAAGCCATTGGTGAAGTATGTGGCTCACCAGCACCCATACTCCAGCCCTGTTCCCAGTCACTGGTACCTAGACGGTGAGAGTGAGGCTGCTCATCACATGTTCTCCAAGTCGCCAGCTGCTGCCCTCCAACTCACCATGCTTGGTGATGTGGTGATATTTTCCACTTAAAGACAGTGATAGCTGTATCACCACCGTTAATAGAAGATGTCTAGTGTGTCCTGGTCACAGAGACAATACAAATGTGAGAAAATAATGCTGGTGCATGAAAGCTTTGGAGACCATTTGTAAGAATGCCATTTGGTAGTTAAAGTGAACATGAAAATTGTGTAGTTTTTGTTGGGTTTCATAAGCATTTTTTCTTCCTGTAGAACTGATAAATTTCAAACGGAAGAGAGTGGCAGCATTTAGAAAGAATCTAATTGAAATGTCTGAACTGGAAATAAAACATGCCAGGGTAAGTGTTTTCTACAAATGAAGCCAACATCTTTTATGGTTTTTTCCCAAGTTATTTCCCAGTTTACTAACCCATTGTCATCAGGCAATTGGGGTGGCCTTGTGGTATTAATCCTCTGTAGTACTTGGTTGATGGGAGCCACTCATTGTTTATTTGTAGTCTTGTTTATAATGCCACCCATGACTAATTTTTAGCAACTTTTTTTTTCTATTAATAGAGATGGCATTTCACCATTTTGGCCAGGCTGGACTTCTGACCTCAGGCGATCCACCTGCCTTGGCCTCCCAAAGTGCTGGGATTACTGGTGTGAGCTACGGCTACCAGCCCTAATTTCTAGCACAATTTATTCAGTCTTTCCAAGGCCCTCGCCTTCATAGAACAACGCACTGATAGTGTCTAAGAAGTTATAGTAAATAGGATCACATTTAGGAGCAAGCAGGTGAGGGCAGAGGTGCTGGGCGAACATCAGGTCTTTCGCTGGTAGCCTTACCCACTGAGGGAGAGGAGCTCTCCTACATGAAATTGGGATGAGTAGTACGTTGCAGTTCACCTGGGATTTCATGAAGAGAAGGGCCAGCTTGCTCTGGCTGACTTTAAATCTCCTGTGAAAAGCTATGTTGGTGGACTTGAGTCATTACAGGCATATGGCAAGTTTTAATAATTCATTGGTCTGCCTTGACTTTTTTCCCACAGAACAATGTCTCCCTTTTGCAGAGCTGTATTGACTTGTTCAAGAATAACTGATATGCCTTCACTCAGAAGAAAAGAAATGAATGTGAAAGAAAGCCAAGCATCACTTGCACTTAAATCATTACCACGGAAAATTTATTAGCTTCAAGTTTAAAATTATGTGAATAAATATTTTGATTTCTACAAATCTTAACATTTAACCATGTTGGTTTAAAAACATTATTGCTTGCTACTTGGACAAACTAATTTTTCCTTGTGCATTTAATACCTCTGGGCAGAATCTAAATACTGGGTTCTCCTGTAGTTCGTCTTTAGTTACTGAGAAAGGGTGTAGGAGACATTTGCCTTCTGGAAACAAGTAGAAGCAATCGCCGGGCCTATGTCCCTACAAACCCGTGATTGTCAGGGAGGTGCCAGTTGCAGCAGGTGATTCAGCTGCTCGAGGCAGGTAACAGACCTTCCATTCCTCACTGAAGGTGGGGTTTGTGTTTTTGTTTTGCCCCTTCACTCCACTGGTAGTCATCTGGTATTGACTACAGCAAGAAACGTAACAGCAAGAAAATCTCATTTATCTTTATATACTCTTTGCACCTCCGTTTTTTAGTTGAGATACAAATATTTGAGGGGAGAGAAATATCTACGGGTATATATGGAAACATAATGTGGTCTACTTTGTAAGATGGCCAGATCTACATTAGGAAGAGTATGAGCTCCCTCCCTAGTGGCCATTGGGGGGTGAGGGGGGTATGGTGTATGTCTTTGGGCATTTGTTTTTTTATAAAGCATATAATAAAATAATTGTGCTACTAACATACAGCCTGTTTTTGTGGAAACCAAAGCCAGGGTGTATCCCGGGAATGCAGGTGGTGCTAGGCTTTGGCTGTGGTTACAAAGGTTTCAGGGTCTGCCCAGAGTCCTGGGGTCGGGGCAGGGGGGTGGGGTGGTGTCAGGGGAAATTTGTCCTAGTCTTAACATTTTTAAATACTCCAGGCCTTTTTTAGATGGTCTCTAAATCTGGGTTTGTCTGTCTGCTCCTGACCTGATGGAGGTTTGCATTTTGACCAGGGGCTTTACCGTAGGGCAGTCGTCCCCAACCTCAGGTCCATGGCTTGTTAGGAAGAGGTGAGCTAGCATTGCTGCCTGAGCTTTGCCTCCTGTCAGATTAGCAGCAGCATTAGATTCTCATAGGAGTGCGAACCAGTATTGTGAACTGGGCATGCAACAGATCCAGGTTATACGCTCATTAGGAGAATCAAATGCCTGATCTGATGTGGAATGGTTTCATCTGGAAGCCATCCCTTTTTTCCACACCCCACCTTGTCCATGGAAAAATTGTCTTCCACGAAACCAATCCCTGGTGCCAATGCCATGTCTTTAGGAGGTGTGTGTCTATTCTTTTGTTGATGACTGAGCACTTAGGGTGGTAATCTGCTTTACTTCTCTAAAGTAATTCATGGAAAGATCATTTGAGACTAAAAACATTTTACCCACCACTTTTAGCATCTGTTACAACCAACTGATACGAGGGTTGAAGAACTGATTTCAGTACATACAGGGAGCATGTTTCTTAACATTTAACTGGTCTTCATGTCTTGCCTCCCCAATTATTTACAGGTGGCCACAGTGCCTTCTACCTTCACAGTACATACTTAGGAAACGGTGCACAAAATGAGTGAATTTAAACTTGGCAGTTCTAATGTAACTTCAGTCTGAGCTCCTAACCACGTCTGTCCTTCCTACCCATCTGCCCCATAATGTCCACAGCAGCCACCCACACACACCTAGCATCCTGTCAGTGTAGAGCTAGCACTCCTGCTGTCAGGTTCCTGGGTGGCAGTGCTTGAGCACCAGTGTGATCAGCCCTGGTTGGAGGAGCTCTGGCTGTGGGCCTTGGGGCCTTGGTACATATTCTTGAGACTAAACCTTGTAAAATGGACAGCTGAGACATGAGTCTGAGTCCTGGGTCTGCTGCTCACCAAGTGATCTGCCTCTCGAGTAATCTGAGTTGGAGTCAGCACTTAAGTGGCCCCTCGAATTAGTTTTATGCCAGCAATCTCTAATACAGCCTTAATCGATGGCATGATTGTAGATGTTTTTACCTGCTGTATTTGTTTCAAAGCTTTTAATTAAATTGCATCTGACAGTCACTTAGGAAATTTGAGGCACTCTGGGTCAGGGATGTAGTCACCTTTACCCTTCTGTCAGTCACCTGGTGAGTTGCTACCTTTACATGTATGTGAGGGTGCATGCATAGTGGTCTGGGGTTGGGAGGGATGGGTTTAGATGCTGACCGCAACCTATGGTCTGCAGAGCCCACCATGGTGGGTCAAAGGGAAGGCTGGTACTGAGACCTGGAAAGGCAGGCAGGCACTTGTCAGCAGGAGGAACAGCATCAGATGGGAATCCACAGCTATCTTGCTGGAGCGCAGGGGAGCATAGGTCCCACATTGAGAAATGGAAATTTGAGTCACTTCAGGGTGATGTGTGGAGAGGCTTTTGCTGTGTGCTTGTATGGTTTGTTTTGAGAACTAGTGATCCCCCAGGAAAACCCATGTGGGTGCACAATTCTTATGGAACCCTTGAGGGTTTCTAGAAATGATGGGAATGGGAAGTGGTTTCAGATGGACTGCCTTAGGACATCCAGGCCAGAAACGCTGTGACTTGCCCAAGTCACAAGTGAGAAAGTTGCCTTGTGGCACACGCAAAACTGCACAGTTCACATGTCATGATTTCATTAAAAGCTAGGATCCAGCCTGAGAAACATCGCAACCCTGTCTACAAAAAATGTTAACCTAGAGTGGTGGCATACAGCTGGAGGGTTAAGGTGGGAGGAGGACTGCTTGTGCCCAGGAGGTCAAGGCTGTAGTAAGTTATGATAGCACCACTGTACTCCAGACCAGACAGCACCTCCCCCCTCCCCACCCTCCCCCACTCTGAAAAACAAAACTAGGAGATTGTCACCAGGAAGGGAAGCACACCCCTCCCTGGTCTGTGAAGCCGTTAAGGTTGAGGTCATGTCAGACCACTGGGGTCGTTTGTGGTGACAGAGCACAAGCATTTGGCCAGTTTGCCGCCCAACACATTCACTTGTGCCATCTCAGGGTTTTGGGGTCTGTTTTTCTGAACATTGCCTATTGCACCTTTTACTGCTGTGAGGTTTCTTGGTGGTAATTCCCAGGCTCGGCTCTGTGAAGGGCGATTTCCATTTGGAAGGAAACCTTGCACTGTCCGCTTTCTGCCTGTAGGCGGCAGGGGCGACCCAGCACAGCCACCTGCCCACCCACAGCTGAGCAGGAGCCTGGTGTCCCTGTAGAGCTGCTCAGATTATATCAGCTTATAGCTAAGGTAGCAGGAAGAGAAATGTCAGGCTACCTGAGAGTTACGTAGTTCTGGATGGCATCTTCCCAGACCAGCAGTCCCCTCCAGGATTCCTGCGGGCTTCAGGTTTCTGGTTACCCAAGACAACCTCCATTGCTGAGGCCATTCTGTTTCAGGAACTCCCCATCTGAGCCTGGTGTCAAAACAGTTGTGAGGTTGATGGGGGTTCACAGCCGGGCCATGTGTTGTACCTGGAGGAAGTTGTTGGGGGGTGGTGGACAACATTTGGGCAGTGACCTTTAGACACAGCTGGGTCTGCAAGGTCCAGGGGACCCCCTTCCCCATCCACTCCTTGCACATACACAAGGTGCCCCTTGCCTGGGTGAGCTGCTCAGTGATTTCTTATTGGAGGTTTGGTTTGTCACCATTCAAAACCATTGATATTTTTTGGTTTTAATCTTTATTTCTAACTTTAATACATGTAGGGAATTAATGAAGTCCCCACATCTTATAAAACTTAACAGTAAAATACCACATCTCATAAATAAGTTATGAAATATGTTTATAGATTTTTTTTCCTGTCCCTATAGGAATTGTTTACAAAAATCTATTCAGGATGCCAGCACTGGGATTGGATTCTGGAGGTTTTCTGCCGTTGATTCTCTTTCTCCTTGGAGTAGTCTCCATGGAGATCCATGGAGGAGTTTTCCTGAGGCCCCAAAACAGCTCCTTTGCATCTTTGTCCTTCCACTGCTTGCTTCCCAGGAGGAAGAGGTGAGGGCCCCCTGCAGACAAGCATGGAGGCCCTGACCCTCCCAGTCTCTTCCCTCCCTTCAGCAACCACCCTACCCAACCAAAGTCTTCATTAGCTAGAAGGCATGAATGGTTTAGGTAGATGTTTCGGAGGATTTTAATTTTTAATTGAGCCCTTCTTTTTTTTGGTTGGTTGGTTGTTTCTGAGACAGGGTCTCACTGTTGACCAGGCTGGAGTGCAGTGGTGCGATCATGGCTCATGACAGCCTCCAGCTCCTGGGCTGAAGCTGTCCTCCCACCTCAGCCTCCCAAGTAGCTGGGATTACAGGCATACGCTACCATGCCTGAGTAATTTTTTTTTAAAAAATCTTTGTAGAGATGGGTCTTCTTATATTGCCCTGGCTGGTCTTGAACTCCTGGCCTCAAACAGTCCTCCCACAACGGGATTACAGGCATGAGCCACTGCCCAACTGGGCCTGCCTTATTTTTTAATACATGCTTTACAAAACTCCTTAAAGCTTCTTAAGTTGTTGGACCTGTAATATTGAGGTCAGGAAAATAAGAGCCTGTAATCCTAGTCCACAGCCACTTCTGGTAGTTGCCTTCCAGCTCTTATCCACATTCATTAATTCATTTGGTGTGCCCTCAGCTAAAGGAACAAAGGCCTATTTGGGGGGATTTTTAGCAAAGGGTAAGGATTTGGAGGTTTGGGGTATAGTTTCCACTGAAACTTGCTGCAAGGATAATGTAGCAGGAGACTGGCCAGCTGCTTAGGTTTCAGGAACTGTTTATGACCCGCCTTACTTTTTAACTGTTACATTGCAGATCCTTTCCGGTCGTTCTGGTGGGGTTTGGAGAGGGAATGGAGGTCATGTGTTTGTTGTTTACCCCATCCTCTCTACATTGCAGGAAGACAGCGAGGGGATGACCCATGCTCTGGACGGTCAACCTAAGACAGGGCAAAGTCAAGGAACAGTTAATAAGAACGGTGCTGTGCGGGTGTTAGGCTGTGTATCAGTTACCCCTAAATCAGGCTGGATACCCATAGCAATTCTTGACATAGCTTCCCGTTGCTCTGCCCTGCTGAAGTTAGGAGGTTCCTGCGAAGCAGTTGCGCACTTCGCTTGAGGGTGGAAACCTGTAGCTAGAGCCAGCCTTCGAGATTCCAGCTGGATCCAGCTGCAGCTCCCAGGGTCTCTCAGCTCCTTGGATTTGTTGATTGTATCATGATCTCATGATTCAGTCCTGTGGGGAGGCAGGTGGCCGGACATTTATCTGGGGGCAGAAAAAGTGTCAGGAGTAGGAGAAAGAATACACAAAAAAGACCCTAAGGGGAGGAGATTGGAAAGGAGCCAGAGAAAGCCTGCAGACAGCAATGTAGGAAGCCCCATTCCTGCCTTCCTGTGAAGCTGATCTTGGCCTGCTCAGCGAATGCCTGAGAAGACAGGAAATCCTGAGCCTGCAGCCTCGAGAAAAACACTGGAAACGCCTGCTGCGAATCCCAACAGGGCTCGCACTATGTGTTTTTCTAAAGTCTGGTTCGTGTCTGCAGTGCTTTTGACCCCTTTTGCACTGTCTGTTAAAGCACTTGTCGTCATAGGAGGGGGCCGGGGAGTGAAACTGACCAGATGTGACCCGCCTCAGAATTGGGGGCCAGAGGTGAGGCTGGTGTGAGGGGAGGGGCTACTTGCAAGGGTCCTTGTTGCAGGGAAGAGGGAAGTGGGGTCCGGAAGCTGGGA